GGTGAATGGTCAAATCCCCAAATAGAGACATTTTTACTACAATTATGTTACTGGACGAAGTATTTGAGTGGAAGAGATAAGTAGTAAGATCCAACTTAACTCTGTGTGCGCCACCCACTGACCCTCTGTCTCCCTTTCCTGTTTGGGTTCCTCTCAGCGTACATGTAATTCCCGATGACTAAACACATTCGAACGAGCATTTGATAGAAGTAGTGGAAAAGATAAAATCGAGGTGTTTTGGAATCGATTTAAGAGACTACTACTTTCGACATTACAGAGGATCTTCAGATTCGTCAGAAATCGAGTTCAAATCCACCTCTGAATCTGAGTCGACCATTTCAATATCGGGTTGGCCTACATAGCGATAAGGCCCGTCATCAGAGTCCTCGTCGCTAGAAGCTTCCACCGAAAATCGATGACTATCCGTTTCGAGCTGGTACCATTGACTGTCGTCGCTCGTATCCGTCATGAGATCATCATCCCCACTCTCTTCTTCCGGGCTTTCTGAAGCATTCTCATCGCGATTCTCTTCATCTTGGGACTTCTTCCTTTTGGGCTTTCGAAGCCGGGTGGCTTCTTCCTTGTCGATACCATGCCGCTCGTCCCATAAATGTATCGCATCATTCTGAAGGGTCACCAATTGAACCCCCGCTGCAGCGCAAAGTTCGATGGCCGCTCTCCATTTTTCACGTGTGCCATGAGCAAGCGTCCAAGATGAGTCTAGACAACCAGATAGATACGGTCCTTTAATTACGATGGACTTCAGTTGTGGTAGCTCGCCATATAGGATTTTGGACGATAGTGGTTGCGACGAGTGAATGATCTCGTATGCGATTGGAGACTCTAATAGTATGGTGATCGTTTCGAGCTTGCTGTGGTACACACCAAACTTAGAGGTCCAAGGAGGATGTGAATCTGTCAGGAATGAGAGGGAGAATGTGAGGTGGCTCAAGTTGGGGAGTGCAGTGAGAAGCCCTTCAAAGTCTCGATGTAGCAAGTCGCCAAATGTGCAGGTACTAATGTAGATATTCGTGATGTTCCTTGCACGCTGCAGTAACCTGAGCCACGAGTTGACGGCTGAGACCTCTCTGGGCCAGGCGAAAGCCATGGACCGAAGTTGATGGAGGTTATCACCGAGAGAATTCAAGGCTTCTGAGATTAGTGCTTCACGGCCCTGTCGATTTTCCATACTGAAAAATAAGGTATGTAGTTTGGGAAAGTTGATGACTTGATCATCAGGCTGGGAAAATCCGCGCAGAATATCCATAGGGGAGGTAGAGTATTCGGTATAGCCGAGCTGCAGCACTTCTACATGCTCGCGTACCCGATTTAGAGCGTCCGAGCCAAGCTCAGACAACATGGCCTGCAAATTTTCCATGGAAAGTGTGATGTGTAATACATCTATGGAGAAGGTTTTGATGTTTCCTGGGGGTATATCCATGATTAGTTTCCTAGCCATCCGCCAATATGGCAGGACCCCTTCATGATGAGTTACCCCTAGAAACTCAAGACCTCGAATCCATCCCAACCTCGTGACCTTATCTTCTTGTGAGAGTGATTCGAGTACTTTCTGTAGCTTCATGGCTTGGAAGTACGTCTCTAGCGCAATGTGTTGATAGAGGAATGGTAGTCCATTGGCGTGCCATTGCCGACAGACGAGGGGAATGGACTGTCTAGTGACCGAAGATATTCTCCATTCGCTTGTGGATCGATAGTTCTTCCATGGGTGGTATACCAGACCGGGAAACTTGGTGGCGTAGTCGAATATGACTTGTAGGATCTCATTAGGTAGACTTGGGAGTGAACG